AAGACAAATAATATAAACAAGGATGAAAAAGGGGATAGAGCAACCAGGAGGAGGAGGGCAGAAGGGGAGGAAGGGGAAGGGGGTTAAAAAAAAGAAATGAGCCGTACTATGTACATATAACCACTTCCAAGAGGATTGCAAATTGCATGAATTGCGAGAATGTACTAATAAATTTTTTAAAAATTTTAAAGCATACTCTCATAATTATTTCCTCATCACTGAAACACAATACCCAAACCCACAACTCTGAGGAGGAAAGGATTACTTTGGCTCTGCGTTTCTTGAAGTTTCAGTCCATAGTTGCTGGCTCCAAGGCAGGGCAGCATGGCAAATGGCCATGGCAAAAGAGAAACAGCTCATGGTTTGACAGGAAAGTAGCAGAGAGAGATCAAGGAAAAGGAAGGGAGGTATACTCTGCCAGGCCACACCCTCAGTGACCCACCTCTTCAGACCAGGCTTCACCTCCAAACATTACATTTAGCTATAAACTCATCAGTGGACAAATCCATACTGATGAATATAAAAGTAGCTCAGTATTCAGGCTGAGGCATGGATACAGCTGGTTGTTTTCTGCCCAATTTATAGTAAGAATCAGGAACAAAAAGCAGAGCCAAATGACCTGAAGCTTGGCCAGGAAGGAAGAATCTGCAAACATGGGGCTAGGGAAAGTGTGATTGCTGAAATTAGCATTAAAATGAAGCCAAGTACTTTGCATAAAGACAAGAAAAGAGATGGTTTAAAGACATCTCAGAAATTGGACAGACATCACTCCTTGCAGACTCAAGGACTTTGCTTTGAGAAAAGATCTCCAAGACTTGTTCTATAAAGTTCAGCCATACAAGAAATCAGAGGCATCTACAGCCATGATCTGGGGGTCAAGCCTACTGGTCTAGCTGGTACCAGACCCAGCCATCATCCACATCATGCTGGCTTTTCAATCATGCAGAATGCATGAGTTATGAGTCATAAAGGTTGACATCCTGATTTCAGAAGAAAGTTTGGGAGGCTAGGCAAAAGTGGGGTCATAGTCCCTGCCAGGAGCCCAGGAAAGAGCAGTACATAAAACTGCAAGACTGAAGCCAAAAGGGCAATGGAGATACCAGGAAGTTGGAGATGCCAGGAACATGGAATGTGTGCTAAGAAAGGCTGCAGGCAAGGAATGGAGCCAGCCAAAGAGAGAAACCATGAAGGCTGCAACCAACAATGCCACAGGGGCCACCCAAGCCCTTTAGAGTTCACATCTTGCAACAACCCGCCCCAGGTGCTGGACATGAAACTACAGGATTTAATGTTTGCTTCACCAGGTTTGAGTCTTACTTTGATCTAATTCCTTTTTATCTGCCTGTTGTTCCCTTTTGTCATGGTTGGCACTGGTCAACCTTCTTTTTGAAATTGAGAGACTCATAGCTAAGAGTAGGCCTTCAGTACCAGAAGAGACTTTGGATTTGTGCTTTCCAACAGTGCTAGAAGTGCTAAGATTTTGGTGACTCTTAGAGATGAACTAAATTAATTTTAGTCCATTTTAGATGAACGCGAGTCTTTTGGGGGCCGGGGACAGAATGTTATAGTTTAGATCTAAAACATCCTCTGAAAGTCTCGCGTGTTTGGAAGTTCACTGGATCACAGGAGTGCCATACTCATCAGTGGATTCATCCACTGACGATTCCCACAGCTGAATGTGTTGTCAGGAGGGGGAGCCTGGTTGGAGATGAGCTCCTGGGGGTTTACTGGGAGGGGTGTGTTTTTGTCCCCAGCTGTTCTCTTTGCTCAATTTCTGGACTGCCAAGGCTGAAGAGCTTTTCTCTGCCATTCCCCTTCACCATGCTGTTCTTGCCTTGGAGCCAGCTCACCATAGACTCAAGCCATGAGTGAAATAAACTTCTCTCCTTTAAACTGTGGGTGTTGAGTATTTTGTTCCAGCAATGAAAAAGTGAATAAAATGTCAATCTTCCCTGAGACATAGAAGGCTGAAGAACGCATGTGAGTGGAAAATAGTTTCTGAACCTACAATGCTAGGAGCCCTGGGTTACCCTGGCAGTGTTAGTAGACCAAGCAGCTGTTTCCACCTTTTTCACTGGTGTCTGTTTTCTTTTAGAAAAAAATACAAACACAATACATATTCCTTTGGAAAAAAATGCCTAAGTAAGGATCTAGTATTCATTTTCAATGTGGAATACAAATTAAGAATTATTCATTTCTAAAATTACACTGAAAGGCATAGGTTACAAGAGAATTCTGAACCAAATTATTACTGAAATTTCTTGATATTTTAAAAGTTAATAGTCGCATTAAGGGCTGGGGATTTAGCTCAGCGGCAAAAGCACCTGCCTGGCAAGCGCAAGGTCGTGAGTTCGGTTCCTGGTACCGGAGAAAAACCAAAAAAAAAAAAAAAAAAAAAATAGTCGCATTAACAGGGACTTAGACAGTTGTACAGCAGTATGGAGAGCAGCAGTATTCACAGGATCTAAAAGGTGAAAATAACCCTTGTGCCCAACAATAGATGATGAGTAAACAAAATGTGATGATACACTACTGGTTTTAGAATATCACAATCGTTTTATTAAAACTTACTTCCAAAAGCACTAGTTTTATTCAGTCAACTTCTGTTAAGAAGGCTTGCACTTCTAGTAGGAGGTAGTATCAATGTGTACACCACAAATGTTTTAATCACTGAATTGGCTAAAATATTCCTATGTGCTACTATTATAGAAACTTAAAATTCCTTTTCAGTGTGACAGAAATTAAGAGACTCACTTACCAACTTTGTACTAATAGATTTTTCTGATGTTCATTTTCCTCTGTTTGCTGTTTTATTGTAACTTTTACCTTGGAATTTTCAAGTTCAAGCCTAAAATGTATATTTTAAAAGTTATTTTTACAGACAAAATTTTTAAAAATCACATAGTTTCCAAACAAACATCGGAAAAGGTAATTACGTCTTTTTAATGTGAAAAGTAAATTATTTGGCTACTGTTTCATTTTTGTAGCTGTGTGTTGTGGATGATGTGCATAAACTAGGGAAAATATGCAGCAACTATATATTTTTAATTTTTCTTGTTGTCTTTGCAATGCTGGGGAATTGCACCCAAGGTCCTATGCATACAAAGTTTGTACTCTACTGTAGAGTTACATCTCCAGCCCTAAAATTTAAAGTTAACATGAAAAGTTTCCCTGGTTTTACCCACATGTATTTACTATCATAAGTGTCATAATTCTTGTACTACACTGCCTATGTGCTTTATAACTAAATTATTAAAGCTAAATTATTTTATATGCTCCTTTAAATTATATTTTTGTAGGTGATCTTCCATTGTCTCAGCACTTTGTACACCGTTTTTTGTATCAGTTCAGTACTTCTTGCAACTAAAGTCATGAAAAAAATCTTTTACTAATAATGTAGTACCAGTGTGCCTACTGTCTTGCTGCTAAAATTTTATTACAAAGTAGGCAAGCCCACTCACTACATACTGCTTATGGCTACTTTTACGGGACAACTGCAATTAAATAAGTGGCTGCAACAGTGATTTTATTCCTACAATGCCCAGAATTACACCATCAGGCCCGTTACAGAAAAGTGTATTGACTTCTGCTCTAGGGCTGAAACACATTACTCTTGCTTCTAAATTATACTTTATTGATATGCAGATTGACAGAATTGCTAAAATGGGCAGAAAGGGGCTATTCATACCAAAAGGGGTTTCTCACAGTTTTCTTGTATTTCCCCCACAAACAATACATTTAACAAACAAAATATGTATTAATCAAGCGTTTATGTTATCGGCAAGTCTTACTTACATTAATAGCAGGTATTAGTACTTAAGTTTTAGAGAGTCAAATTATACAGGTTCTCAACTACACAAGGCAACATTGTACCTCCTCCTAACCCTCACATTGTTCAAGGTATCAATTGTATGTAAGTAATCATGTGAAATGAAAATGGTCTAAAGCTTCTATTAAAATGCAGAATGAAAATTTAAGACCCAACTACGTAAGAAATACATCCATCCTGTGCACAGATCCTGCCTGTAAAAAATACATTTTAAATGCACAAACATAAGTTTTTAAAAAGAATTTTTAAAATGTACCACACTAACGCTTGACCAAAGAAAGCTGAACAGGAAAGGCTTTATTAATACCAAAGTAGATTTCATATCAAAACCACTCCAGCAATAGTCATTTCATAATGGTAAAAGTTTCGGGGCTGGGGACTTAGCTCAGGGGCTAGGGATTTAGCTTAGCGGCACAGGGCCTGCCTGGCAAGTGCAAGGTTGAGAGTTCGATTCCCGATACCGGAAAAAAAAACAAAACAAAAAAAAAAAAAAAAAAAAAAAAAAAAGTTTCAATTAACTAGGAAATACACAATTCTCATTATTTATGTATCCAAGAAGCAAATTCACTGAACTACAAAAAGATGTGGACAAATTCACAAGTGTTACTTGAGATTTCAATATCCCTTCAATAAGTGCTAGAAAAAAAGTAAGCAAGCACAAATTTAGGAATAATAGGTAGACTTGAGCAACATCATTCCTACCAAAATGGAATATATTGTAAGATCATAAAAAAATTAGAAGATTAAATCAAGATGATTTAAATATTTTCCTTGATGATAAAGCAGCCGAATTAGAAACAAGTAACAAAAATATCTCTGGAAAATATCCAAATATTTGGACACTAGGTTACACACATCTAAATAACCCTGAATAAAAGGGATAATGAAAACAATCTACAAAACATTTTTTTCCAACAGAACAAAGATAAAAATACCAGCTAGTAGAGTTTGTAGAATGCACTTGAATGAAAAAACAGTACTTGTGGTACTAGTGGTTGAACTCATAGCCTTCACACTGACCTGCAACCCTAGCGCTTTTCTCTTTTTCATCTTCACATAAGGGCTCTTTAAGCGGCTAAGCTGCCCAGGTTGAGCTCGCATTTACGATCCTCCCGCCAGGAGGCAATGACGTCACGGGCGTAGGAGGCCCCGCCCCGCTGACGTTGGCGCGCGATGACGTCAAGGGCATGCGGGGCGCGCGCTGGGTGGTCGTTGCGGCCGCCGGGGGCGCAAAGGCTGGGCCTTTTCTGTCAGCACAAATGTTGGCTTGTGGAGGGCAGAGCCACCTGCCTCCTTCTTCCCGCGAGTCCCGACGGCTCGGAATCCCAACTTCCTGAGCACCGGCCGGACCGCAGCGCAGCTGCAGCAGCAGCGGAGGACGCAGAGGTGCGGGGCCTCCCACAGCGCCGCGTCCCTCGGCCTCCTGCCGCCCGGGGGCAGCGCGGCTTTTGAGTCGGGGCCTCCGTTGCGTTCCCAGGCTCGGCCGCGACCCCTCTGCCCTCCTGCGAGTGCGGGAGATCCGCGTTCATCCTGAGGGGCGGGACCTCAGCGCACGGGGTGGTGGTGGGGAGAAGAAACGGGCAAAAAGCGAAGTGTGGGAAAGGGGGAAAATGGTGAAATACCGCTTTGTTAGTAGGAGTATTCGTTTGTATATTTGTGCACTCAAGGATATTACTCCAGCTAAATACCCTGCTTTCCTTTGGACCATTTTATCATCAGGGCTTGCAATTTCCGAGTGTTGCTGTAACAAAGTGAGCCAAACTTGGTGACTCACACAGAAATTTATTACTTCACAGTTTTGGAGGCTAGAAGTCCAAAATCAAGGTGTTGGCAGGAGGGGTTCTTACTGGAGGCTCTTAGGGAGTCTGTACCCATCCTTCTCTGCTAGCTTCTGGTGCCCATTGGCAATCTTCCGTGACGTTTGCCTGGTGGACGTGTTATTCCAGTGTCTGTCTGTGGCATGGCACTGTCCTCTGCACGCATATGTGTCCAGTCACAGGATTGGGAACTGAGTTTACATCTGCAAAGTCACTGTTCTGGAGATTGTGGAGGTTCTGGAATTGGGACATGAACATACTTTGGTGGAGACACAATTTAATCCACAACAGCTACAATCTTGGTATGTCATTCATTAAAAAAAAATCCTTCCTCTTGACCACATTTTCTCCTTTATAATATACTATTTACTTTCTTTTGTAGCAAAATTTCTCTAGAGTTCTTACATTCCTAGTCACTATTTTTAGCTTTCCCTGACAGTTCTCTTGAATTTAAGTCAATTAGACATTCACTTCTATCACTTTATGGAAATTGTTGCTCTTTCAGGTCACATATGAACCACTTCCATGTTGCCAGGGATCAGTTTAGTCCTCATCTCATCTTTCCTAGCTTTTGGCGGTTTATCATTCAGTCTTCCATGATGTGTTTTGCACTTGCTTTGAATAAGTCACCTTTTGGTTTTATCTTCTGAATAACTGGCTCCTTCTCTCTCCGGTTTGACACTTTTGATGAACTTTCTTTAACAATGCACAAGTTTACTCCTGCATTTCTGACACTTTTAACTTTTATAAACCTTAGTTTCTGCATTATTTTTCTTATAACATTAATTTGTCTTTAACCATTACACCAAAGGATTAGTGTGAAAAATTTACTTGCTCACAATTTTGGAAGCCAGTGGTCTGAAATCAAAGTATTGACAAAATTGTGTTTCCCCTGCAGGCCCTGGGGAGGCCTACGTTGTTTCTTGCACGCTCCCTCAACGTTCCTTGTCTTGTGGATACATCACCCCAATCTCTGTCTCCCGGGCTATAGTGATACCAGTGATCAGATTTAGGACCCACCCTAGTCCAAGATCACCTCATTTTAACTTGATTATTTATGCAAAGACTCTATTTTTAAATGTCACATTTACAGGTGCCAGGGATTAGGATTTGAACATAATGTTTTGGGGGGACACAGCTTGATGCACAACAGTAGGACTAGCCTCGGTGTGGTGAGAGTCATGCAAAAGGAATCCAACATTATTCTGTCTTAATTTTGTCACTCCACCCACATATCTGATGCTCCAACATAAATTTAAAATCTTTAGGAGGAGCCGGGCATGATGAGGCATGTGTGTAATCTCAGCACTCTGGAATCTGAGGCAAAAAGATTGCCATGAGTTTGAGGCTGGTATAGGCTACATAGTGTGCTCAAGGTTAGCCTAAACTGCATAGCAAGAACCTATGTCAAAAAAGAAAGTTTAGGAGGAGGCATTCTTCTGGGCCTTAATGAGCTTTGGAGGGAGAGAGGAATAAAGGAATGAAAGCCTAGGGCCTGTCCAGTCTGTTATTTTCTTATGCCAACACAGCTTTGGGGAAAAGGATCATTATTGAAGACATGTATGTATTACCTTAAAAAGAGGGAAAAGTAACAGAATTTAAAAGTTTTTCTGATTATGTCTATGTTGCTTCTGCCTTCTTTGCTTCCTACTTCTCCATCCAAAATGTCCACTCATATATCAGCCTCACATAGGTTTCTGACAGTTTTTTAATTTTCTTATTATTTGTGTTTAGGAATATATCCCTCTCCATTTTATAGTTTCTCCAGAGTTGATTTGGGGATTCACCATCTTCATAGACACTGACAGTCCTTCCATTACTTAAAATTTAAGATCATTTATTTTCTTCCTCACTTATACAAAAATGCTGTAAATCTTGTAGGTAAAAATGGCACTACTTGGAGAATAAGTGGAGTAGAAAAGAAGCAAGATTTGTCGCCAAGTTGACCTGTGTTGAAATTCACCCTTAACAATAATTAACTTTATGACTTGTGGCTAGCAGTTAACTTCTCTGAGCTCAGTGTAATCATATGTAAAATGAGAATAATGATTTGTATAAAGGACATATTTTGACTTTAAAATCATTGATGTTTTACTAATATGATTGTCATACTTAAGCTTAAATAACTTGGTATAAATTAAATTACTAATAACTGCATTCTATTTTTCAATGTTTTAAGCAATTGTTACTCATAAGAGGCAAGAATGTAATTGTAGCTTCAAAAACTGATGTACTCCGAGTAGATTGCTCAATCAAGTATTAGGACAATGAAAATAAATATATGGATTTAATTAGAATAACTTTATTTTTGTTAATTAAATTATGTAAGATTTTCTCTGAATTTATTAATGTTTTATTCACAGGGAAGAATTAAATTTTTCATCTATAACTTGGAAGCTAAGTTAATAACACAATGAAGCCAGCAAATCTCTTGCCAGGCACTAGTAACAAGTTGCCAGACATTCCAGAACTCACTTATAAAAGAGGCCAGCTTAAGTCACCATCATTACCTAAAACAAAAGAAAAACATAGTGCAAAATTTGTACAAAATAAAACTGAACCAATGATCCTACAGTCTCCACCAACTGCAGAATCTATTTTACGGTATGCTTTGCCTATCCCATCAAGTAAGACAAATGAATTAGTGGGAGAAGATGAAGTGAACAGGATTATCAAACATCTGAAGATGGTAAGACACTGGGTGCTTCACATGTTGTGGAGTCCCCATGCTGACTCCCAGGTTTGGTGATTTGCTAGCAGTATGCAAGGGTTCAGCACACAGTTTCATTGATGTGAGGACATATTACAGTAGGCACACAGAGGGGAACGTGGAGGAAACGAGGGCAGCTTATGAGGGTCTTGTGCCTTTGGAATCACAGGACATGTTTAATTTGTCTGGAAATTAATTATATCAACACATGGAAAATCATTAAAAACAGTGCTCGGGGCTTTAGTGGGGCTAGAGTTTTAGGGGGATTAATTTTACATTTAATATAATTAATTTTAAACTGAGAAAATATTTACTTTGCTTTGCATTTTTGTAGGTTGTTTCTACTTTGGAAAAAGCCTATGGATTTAGCTTTGAAAATGCAGAACTAGTAGTGAAGCCTGAACAGGAAGACTTATCTGTATCTGTAAGTATATATAACCCTAATATACAGAAATTCACACTGAAAAGGACTAAACTTTTCGTTCTCAGTCCATATAGCTTTCCAGATGAGTTCCCTATTCAAGGAAATGGTCATTTTAGGAAATTTAACAGTCGTGTACTGATTTTACCATTTTTGCCAACCTCAATCTTTAGGTTTAATTAGGGCACATCTATATCTTGAACCCACATTTAATAATAGTGGCTCTCCTATTAAATTTTTAAGCTTAGTTGTTGGTTTGAGGTGTATATGCTGTGTCATGGTAAGAAACTATCTTGGTAAGTAAAAAGACTCAAGGAAGTTATTGAGTTTTAACAAATATCTTTTTTGTGTATGTTTTAAAGTAACACCATTACAGTATTAAGATTATAAGGTTCTCCAACCTGTTGTTATTTTACATATTTTCTAATATTCAACCATACATTAATATACTTTACAAGTAGAATACAATTCTTTTACTATATTTAGTTTTATTCATAATTTATTTTGGTCTATGTCATGATACACCTGGGAGTCCTGGGTTGAGTCTTTCAATCAATAAGTTTGGTATGTTTCTCCATTTATTTAGGTCTTGGCTGATTTCTCTTATCGGTAGTTTAGATTTTCATCATTTATATATTGCACATGATTTGCTAGATATATGCATTGAGATTTCATGTTTTGTGAAGTAATTGTTAATGGAATTATGTTTTTAATTTAGTTCCTGTGCATTATGAGTATATTGACATATGACTAATTTTTTGTGTATTGATCCTATGTCTTGCAACATTGTTCATCGTACTTTTTATCTAGGAGTTTTCTGTGGATTCTTTGGGATTTTCATTAGACAATAATGTCATCTTCACATTTTATTTCTGTCTGCCTGATCTGAATGCTTTATATTTTCTTGGCTTGACCTACTGTGCTACTAGAATTATATTGATTAAAGTGGTACAGGCAGATATCCTTGCTGCATTCTAATGGCTACTTCTAGACAAAAGTAAAAGTGTTTTTCCTTGCTTGGTCCCACCAATATAATGCTGGTGGGGGAATGGGAGTGCCATCTACTACTACCAAGTAGATGGTGAAACTCCTTCCTGCCATCACTGTTGACATTGCTTTGGTCGGGTAGATGGAGGGCCAGTTTTTGCCACCACACTGTTCTTCAGACCTACGGACATACTTGGAGTTATGGTGAAGAGAATGTTGTGGTGTTTGACTCCAATAGCCATGTGTCCAAAAGGCTTGATGCTATCCTGGGGACTCCTGTACTTCAGTTGAGGCAGTATATATTAACTCTCTTCAAGTTTCATCCACTGTGCAGTATCCAATTGAACATTAAGCCCCATCGAGTGAATTTACTTCAAATGTTAAAATTTTTACATCTAGTATTATGTTTTGGCTCCTTTCAAGATGTTTTTATACTTTTCCACTCTTGTCTAACCTCCCTGCCTTTTCTATTTCTCTTCCTGAAAATTCTTCTATCAATAATAGATTTTTAAAATTCCTTGTATGCTCATTCTAGTATTTGGATCATCAGTGTTTGCTTCTCTTTTTTCTTTTGGTATTGATTTTATTTTCTTGGCCATTCATATGTTTTATATTTCTTAACTGGGTTCCAAATATTGCAAAATAAAAGTTCTTTTGGTATAAAGTTTTATTTTTGTTTTCTAAGGAATTTGTGTTCTTTCCTTAGTCTGGCTTTTAGAGTGATTTATAGTCCCCTGAAAACCAAAAGGAGTTGGAACTGGTCCACAGCTCACCTTTAATTGGACTCAACTCTCATCTAATTTCTCTAATCCATAATCCTATTGTTGCTTTCTCTGAAAAGCTAGTTTATTTGATCACGTCAATATTTGAGCTGGAAGGAGTTGAGACTTTGAATGGTTTGGGTTACATTTTGGTTAAATCTGGCAGGGCTTGAAAATTTAATCATCCTGTACTCTGGGAAGCCAAGGCAGGAGGTTCTCAAATTTGAGTCCACTCTGGAAAATTTAGCAACTTAGTGAGACCATGTCTCAAAATAGAGAAATTAAAAACAGGGCTAGGAATACTGTAGCTCAATTCAAAAGCCCCAATTTCAGTTCCAATTACTGAAAAAAATCACAGTCATCCCAAGAACATGCAGGATGAGATTTCTCTACTTTCTAATCCCTCCTTTTTTTTTTTTTTTACAGCCATGTGTAATCACTACCATAATCAAACTTGAAACATTTCCATTATTCAAAAAGGCTTTATATCATACTCCTTTGCAATCAGTTCTCTCCTTCTTGGTTCATTCACTGATCTTTCGCTATAGTTTTGCCTTTTCCTGGAATTTCATGGAAGTAGAATCACACAGTATGGAACATGCTGTGGTTAGCTCCCCCATCATGTTTTTGAGATTTATCTGTGTTATTCCATGTGTCAGGGTTTGTTTCTGAAGTTGTGCAGAGGAGAATGAACTTTCATCCACGTTCTCTTTGAGAGAGAATTTGCTAGAACATTTGAAGCGTAAGTTCTTGGCTTGCGTATTTGAGATGACACAAATCACACACAAAAAGTTATCAAAAATGAGTTAAATCTACCAAGAAATAAACCAATACACAGACAGGTTATGAAATAAGAGTAACTTTTTGTTTTTCTATTTTCAAAAGGTTGGGGATGACATGAATTCGTTCTTGGTTTGTTGCTCCCAGTTTGCGGCTCAGCTAGAAGAAGCAGTTAAGGAAGAACACCATGTATGTATTCTCTGTAAATTGCCAAGTAGAACTACTAAAATTTGCATTGATTGTTTAAACTTCAGTGTTATATTTAGTCAGAAATATTAGCCTAGATTCAATGTCTTAAAGAGTTGGGAATATATTGGTGTGCACTATTTAGTTTTCTTTATTCTTAACATAGACAATGTAATGTAATATAATGTAATAATTAATGATAGCATTAAAAGTAAAGTCAGGCAAAAGGAAGGAAATAAAATTCACTATAGTCTTATATCCCAGAAATAAACAAGTACTATTAACATATATTTGTTTGCCTCCCTGAATTTCCTTTCTTCTATACATTGTTTTTAATCACATAACAAATAAAACTCTACCACAGAAGTAATCTTTACTTCAATTATTGCAACTAAGGCAGTGTTAACACAGTAACAGCATATTCCATACACAAGTCACGCTTACGCTAACAGCATGTATTCTTAGCTTTCCTTTCCTGTTTGATATATCATATGTGTCACCTCTCTTGTCTTCCTTTTTTTTTCAGGAGCTTCCTATTATATTATACACTGTCCACTTAGCCATACAATGATCAATAAAATAAAATAATAAATATAAACTGAGTGTTTAGAATAAATATCAACATTTTCTGCATCAACTATTTACTCACAAAATCTAAAAACTAACACCAGAAATTCCTATGTGAACTACAATGAAAATGCAAATAAAACTCTAACCACAAAAATAATCTTTACTTAAATTAGCATCCCTAAAGCAGTTTTCACATGTGAGAACAGCATATTCCACATGCATGTATTACTTACGTTGACAGTGCATGTGTTTTGTTTTCCTGCCTTCTTTGGTAGGTTATTCCTGACATCTTGCTGGTCTTCCTGTTTTCTTAGGAGGCTTTTGTGATATTTCACCTGTCTGTTTACTGGTGTGGTCCACAATTCTTTTGAATTCTTTGGGTAGATATGTACTGTTCTTCCTCAGTTGTAATTGATCCTTTATCAATCCCAGAAGAAAATATTTCTCCATGATATTTTATGCTTATTATTTTCTTTGTGAATTATGAAACTATTTATGGCTGACATGTTTAAGATAGAGTAAAACACAAACTTTGGACAGTGCTTTGCATTTTGAGTAACATTATACTTGTTGCATAAATATCAACAACATCTACTCAGCCTTTTGTTTCATTGTAAAATGTGACCATTTCTGGCTTTATTTGTGTTGAGGATTCACTATTAATCTTATTTTATTTGTTTGTTTGATTTGAGACAGGGACTCTGTGTGTAATCCAGGCTAGCCTGGACCTCACTGTGTAGCACAGGTTGACCTGGAACTCACAGGGTCCTTCTGCCTCAGTCTCCAGAGTGTTGGGATTACACGCTTACACCACCATACCCAGCTTCATTATTAATCTTATAATCATAGGTAATGTTGACACTATCAGTACTACTTTGTTTTTCTTTGCCATATTGGAGACCAATTTTACGTTTTTCTCAAATCTGAAGATTGTACTATACATTTCTCTGCTGTGAACTTGCTACCTATTGTCAGGAATCTCAGCTTTGTTCCTGTGAATAGTGCTGGTCAACTGGTGTTCTTTTAGCAAATGTACCATCAGTAGGTAACTTGTGAACTAAGTGTCAAATGTGACATTTGGGTTACTTTATGAAATAGGTGCAGTAAGTCTCTTCACAAAGTCATACAGTTTATTACTGCACAAAGAAAGACCTGGTGTCTGAGTTCCAGGATAAATTTCTAAATTACAAATGTAAAATGTCTTTGCATCCACCAGGGCCATATTTGGAAGGTCTACTTGGCATATGCTGCTGAAAACTTCAACAACCACAAAATGATACGTTATCAGTTGTCATATATTCAAATGGTTTATAAATTGCTTGACATTTTGAAACAAAGTTTTCAGCAAATGAGAAAATAGCAGCCAAATTGTTGAATTTTTTTCTTTCTTGTCAGGCCCTTTCATCAAACTGTAAGCAGTTTTGGAGAAAACCAAATCCCTTGAGTGTCATTATTGTTCTAAAAATCTTAACACCACATCAATCACCTTCTCCATAAATCCTTTAGGTTCTGACAATTAAAATAATGAAGTCCTGCTATGAAGTCTTTTAGTTCAGATAGTGAGGTGTTGTGATAAGTTGATTTTGAGTATTACTATTTATACATATAGAATGTTTTCTTATGTTTCATTATTAGCATATTTCAAAACATTTTGTACCATATCATCCATTAAAAACAATTTCCAACATTGAATCACAGTGTTGAAATTCCATCCAATAGGTTTCTCTCCTGGCAAGAACCTAGTAACATTTTCTGACCTAGTTCTAACATTGGATCATTCATGCTATTTTGTTCCTCATCTGAATCGAGGTCTTCATTATGTACTTCTGCATCTGTCATATCTCCATCGTATCTGTCATATCTTGCTAACTTCTTTGATTTACATGATCCAATTCATCATTGGTAGCTGAGTCAACCTCCTCCATTGTCAGCTCCTCATTATGGTCCTCAACAAGCTTCTCTATTTCTGCACCATTGGCATCCAGACCCATACTCTTGCCCATGGACACAGTCTCCTCCACTACATGTGCATCAACATCTCAATATTCAGTTACCCATTTTCACTCATCTTGGTCACAGTTTCCTCCAGGCTGAGTTCAAGGACTGATACATGATGTCTTCCTAAGTTTTGTCAGTGAGGTTAATACAGTGGAGGACATTGGAATGTTTCTTCCAAAACTCTTTCAGAGTCAAGGTCATCTCTTTAGTGATATTAAAATACCTGGTGAAGGGTATTTTTGTGTGCAGCTTCTTCAAGTTGCAGATCACTTGGTGGTTCATGGATTGCAGAAGAGTTTCCATGTTGAGAGGAGGAACTTGACCTTTATGAAGTCATATGCAGTGTCCATGTCATCTACCAAGGATGGAGGCTGTGTCTGAGCATTGTCCATCAAAAGAAGGCACCTTTCAGGCAGTTGGTTATCAGAAAGGTATTTCTTAATGATGGGTGCAGACGACTCATGCAGCCATTCCATGAATAACAGACAGTCTGGAGGTGTTCACATCCTGTTTCTTGAATGCACAAGGGGGCTGGGAATGGTACATCAGCAATGGCTTAATCTTCAGATTTGTGCTTGATTTCACACAGAGAAAAGAGATCAATCTGTCCTTCATGGGTTTGTGCACCGGCAGTGCCTTTTCCTCCAGCATGATATGGGTTCTTTTTAGCATGTTCTTCCAGAGGGCCTGTTTCATCACTGTTGAACACATGTTCAGCAATGTATCCTTTTGACTTTGTGAACTCTTTCTTGTAGGCTTCTGCAGCAGCCTCTTCAGAACTGGAAGCCTCACCATGTCTTATCACTCTGTACATGCCAATTCTTCTGTGAAACATATCAAACCACCTTCTACTGGCTTCCAATTTATCACTTGTTGCACTTGTAGAGGGGTTTTCTTGCAGTAAATCACTGTGCAATTTCCTGCCTTTTTAATAGATCAAAGCTGCAATAATTCTATCACCTCCAGCTGTTTCTCATTCAGTTACACTAACAAGTTTCTTCATCTCTTCCAAAACTTGTGTCCTCTATGTGGTTAACAGGATTATTTCTTTTGCCACATCAGCTCCTTTGATGGCATCTTTATTCTTCAAAATAGTTAATATTGTTGACTTCATCATCTTATACTCTGAGGCCAGATCAGTCACATGAATGCAATGCTCATGCTTTTCTATAATTTTGTACTTCAATTCAGTGGTGATTTTCTTTATTACCTTCTTGCTATTCTTGCTCTGCATTTTTTTGTTACCTTCATTATTGCTCTGCGTATTCTTGTCACCTTCATTTCCACTCTGCATGTTTTTTTACCACATGCTTGCTCTGCACGTTCTTTGAAGCCATGCTGGATTAAATAATAAGGTACATTACTATAAGTGCTAAGAAGCACACAAAAAAGCTTCACAGCAAGTATGTACAGGTCTTTCTGTGACTGCAGTCATAACTAGATGAATCCACAACCATGTGCCAGAGCTGGGAAAATGGCTGTGACAATGTTCATTACCAAATGTGAAGTTCTAAACCAAAATAAAACTTTGCTGAACCAAAGTAATATTATAGTTGCAAGTGCCAATATTTGGCGCATATACATTTATAATTGCTATCTCTCTTTCTTGGATTGTTTCCTTAACTATTATGTAGTTTCCTTAACTATTATGTCTCTTCTGATCAGTCTTAGCCAAAATCTACTTTGCCTGCAAATAGAAGAGCTACTCCCTACCTTTTTCCAATTTCCTGTAACATGGAGTACTGTTTTTCATCTTTTTATTTTTAGTCTGTGAATTTCTTTCTGAGTTAAATGTGTTTCTTATATGCAGTATATTGTTGGATCTTGTTCATTGATCTGTTCTGTCAATTTCTTTTGATGGGTTCATTGAGACCTTCCACATTCATATTTAAGTGGTAGGTATTGACCTATTCTGGTCAGCATATTATTTTCCTTTTGTTGGTTTCCTTTCTTTTTCTTCATTTAATTGCTTCCTTTTCCTGGTGGATTCATTCTACCGAGATTCATGTCTAATAATATTTGTTTTATGTAGTTGGATTCACCATTATTTGGTGCATTCATATTTATGATTGTTACCCTTCTTCTTGGAGTTTTCCCTTAACAAATACATAGTGATCTTCTTTATCTTTTTTGATCAGTTTTGGCTTGAAGTTCAAATTGTCAGCAAATAGAACAGCTACTCTTGCTTTTTTTTCAGTTCCAGTGGCACAGAATATTATTTTCCATCCTTTGATTTTTAGTCTATGAATTTCTTTTTGAGTTAAATGTTTCTTGAATGTAGCATACTGTTGGATTTTTCTTCTTGATCCATTCTGCCAGTCTTGTTTCTTTTGTTGGTGAGTTGAGATCATCTACATTTCCTCTTGTTAGTTCCTTGTCTTTTCTCTCTGTTTAATTGCTTGACCTGCCTGGTGGTTTCTTTCTATTAGTGTTCTTATGCTTGTGGTCTTTGTTTTCTCTTTCTAATGTATCCTTCAGAACATTCTGCAGAGCTGCTTTGGTGGTCATTAATTTCTTCAGTTGTTCTTTGTCATAAGAGTATCTTATTTCTCCATTGATTATTTTATTTTAAAGAGAAAAAACAGTAACAAAATAACAACAATGAAGACAAAAACAAAACAACACAAAAACAATAAAAATGATACAGGATTTCAAAAAAGATGATAGGTATCAACAGTGGTGGTTATATTACATATTTTTATCTTCAGTGAAGTTGCTCAGATTATCATTTGAAAGATGGCTTTGCTGCGTACATCAATCTGGGTTGAAGGTGGTTTTCTTTCAGGGTTTGAAATACCTCACGCCAAACTCTCTTTGATTTGAGGGTTTATGTTGAGAAGTTTGCCATGATTTTTATGGGCTTTCCTTTATAGGTGATCTGTTTCTTTTCCCTAACAGCTTTTAATATTTTAGCGTTTTGTTGAGAAGTCTACTGTGCTTCTGATGGGCTTTCCTTTACAGGTGATTTGTTTCTTTTTTTCTAGCTGCTTTTGATATTCTTTTCCTGGGCTAAATTTCTGGAATGTTAATTATTATATGCCTTACTGGAAATTTACTTTAGTGATGGCTATTTGGAGTTCTATGTGCTTCATTTATTTGCATGTCAAATTCTTTATCCACGTTTGGGAAGTTTTCTATCATTTTTTTGTGCAGAAGCTTTTCATATCTTTTACGCTATCTCCATCTTTCTCACTGATTCCAGTCAATCTAATGTTCTTATTTGCTTCATTTTGTAGCTGTTGGATTGATTTTCATGGTCACTTGCTATTTTTAAAGATGTCTTTCTTTTCATGGTCACTAGCCACAATCCTGTCTTCTAGATCTGATATTCTGTCTTTGTCTTCATTCAGTGTGCTGCATATACTTTCAATGGAGTTTTTTAATCTCCTGAATTTCTGTTTGGATTTGTCTCATGGATTCTGTTTCTTTCCTATGTTGGGCATTCATGATTTACATCATTTTCCTGAACTCATCTATTTATTTAAATCTGTTGCTTTAATATCTTTCATTTTCATCATCATCTTTTTGTGCCTTAGAGATTGTTTTTTCTGTAACCTCTTCCATTTGTTTTTCACTTCTGTTGCTATCATTTCAGAAAGTTCCAGTGGTTGGCTTCCAATTTCCTATATCTCATTGTGCTCTGGACTTGTGTCTAGGTTGTATTTTGATTCTTTGTTTTGTCATTTTTCATTTTCTGTTTTTTATTTTATTTCCTTTATGGCTCCTTTTAGATTTCTCATGGTAGATAGCTTTATTCCTGGTATTGAGGTTTCCCTAGGAAATGACTGTTCCTCAGAGATGTCTTCTAGATGTAGATGTTTCTTGGTCTTTCTGTGTGTCCCAAGAATCTATCTTCCCAATGTATTAAGGATGAGAAGTTGCTCTTTATTTAACTCAAGACTCAGTCCTTTGGTACTGGACTACAGTGATTGTTATAACCCCATTCAATCACAGTGTTGTCATACAGGGGAGAAAAACAAATTATAACAAGTATGATATCCTGGCTAAAGTAGTACAGTCAGCAATAACAATAGTCTCAATTACAGTCTGTCTACTGACAAACTGTGATAAGTATTAACCTGATACCTTTAACTACAGGAGCAAATTCTACAGTTATATAACAAAATCTAACATATACTAGCAACTTTTATACAATGATTTTCCCCTTAGTGGGTGGTTTTACCCTGTTGTGTGGGGGTAATTTAATATGGTTGAGGGAAAGATAGAGAGAATAATGAGGTCAAATATAGTAGGAGCAAGCAGGAGGGCAAAGAATGATCACCCAAGTTTTGGGAAACTGTAAGACACAAAAGGGAAAGAATGGAAGAAAAAGCCAAGGAGTGTTGAAGTAAACCAGAAAGAGAAGAGACAATGTTTACTCATATGAAAGTATCATAAAATCAAGTAAGATAGTTGATGAAAGAGAGAAAGAGCAAGGGCAAGAGTAGAGGAAAACAAAAAGAAAGGTAAGAAATCTTAAGTCCTGAAAGAAAAAAAAAGACAGGAAAAAAAAAAAAGCAAAAATAGCAAGACAAAATGAAACAAAAAACCCAAAACTGGACGGAAAAAGGCAAGCCAAGCAGACAGAGAAAAATAAAAGTAGTAAAATTCCTCTGGTGTCTATAGTTCTGTGTAGATCCAAGTCTGTGTACTGCAGCCAAGTTTACAATGGGATTTGTGCCAGGTATGGGGCTGATCTTTGCCTCTGGATGTGGGGGATGGGACTGGTCTGCTGCTGGAGTTCTCCGTAAGTCTAAGAAAAAACAATGGGACAGCCCTACTCACCTGCTTCTGTCTCCTATGTCTGTGTGCCAAAGAACAATGCTGGTTCACCTAACTTAGCAACTGCTGCCTCATATTCTTACTGCTGCTTTGTTTCTGAGCAACAGTTTTTAAAGTATTTCCTGTTTACTTTGTTCATCCTTTTTCCTTGTGCTCATTTTTCAAGGATTATTTTTTTTTGTTTTGCTAGGTTGAAATGTGTGATTCAAAATCTTTGAATTTCTGAAAACCGCTTTTTTCTGTCCTTATATTTAGTTGATAATGTCATTAAATTTATAGTAGAGGCTTAATATTTTCCTCATAAACTTTATAGACATTGCTCTATATTTTCATAGTATTTTCTCATTTTAGTGTTAATTCTGTAATGTTGGCTTTTCTCACTTCTGATCAGTTTTCATCTTCCACTTGTTTTTATCATTGATGTTCTGGGTTCCCACAGTATCAGGTAACTGGTGATTTGAGTAACTGATATACAGAAAGGCACTGTTCTCCTAGCTCTTAGTGGTTTAAAATAATCTTAGAACTCTAGCTATAATGATTGGTGGAGTTTGTTAGTGATTCCCTTCAGGTTCCAAAGCAGGAAGAGAGATTTTAACCTTGGAATGAATCATGTTATTCCAAGATAATGTGTCTCAGTGGACATTATTTTCTAAATTCCTATTTATCTAAAAATACTTTTTATCAGGCATGAATATTAATTTACTTTAGTATACTTTCTGGAGGATCTAGCCTTTTTGCTTAGATATATTCTTATTATTAAGTTCAGTGGTTCACAACTTAGCATTCAAACTAACGACTTAAAGGACTAGGTGCCTGCTGGCCCCTCTTTCAAACATATAAGAAAGTCGGAGGGCTAAGAGGGGGCCTGAGAATATACATTGCTATGCAGTGTGCTTGTGTCATGCTGATGCTGTGGATTATGGGAACTACATTTTTTGAATCACTGATCCAGAGTCAGTGTTGCACAAGAGTAATTTTAGACTGGCTTAATTTTCCATCATTTGTAAATGACATTTTCCTCTGCTTGAATACATGTAGTAATGTTTTTCTTTCGTATGGTTTAGAACTTTTACCCAGACATGAGACAGTGTCTTTTTGCTAGCATATGTAATCATTTTACACATATTTTCAGTGTTACATATTAATATATTATATGATATACTTGGATGTGTGGACTTAGTTTCTTTCACAATCATCCAAACCAGTTCATTGCACTTTACAGAAACATATCTAGTAAAAGTATATTTTGTATCTTGTTAGTTTGATCCCTTTATCATGAATAAAATTATATTGAAGTAGCAGTGCTGGAAAGTTAATGATTTTCATTACTGTATTTGATGCTATATGAAAATAAATGCAGTGCTTCTTTGATCGTAATTTAAATTTTATACCTTAGCTATTTTAAGAAAATAAATAATTTTTGCAAATTATTTTGAAGCCACATTATTGTATGAGTGGAAAATTATTTTTATTGTAGAAGTTAGTTATGTATATGTAATGAACTAAAATGTTTCCAAATATAAAAGTGATTTTGAACTACAGATTTATAAAGTTTGTATTTTATCCACTCATGCATTTTTGTGATTGAAAATTATGACTTGAATTATATATAACATACATTGAAAGAATTGTATATTTAAATTTATTAAAACTTTATTTTACAGATTTTGGAATCTTTGTTCAAGGTATGTTCATTCTACTGCAGCTTAGATGTGGTAAAACTTAATCAGGATATACATGTAAATGAAGAAGTTTATAAGTTCTAAAGTAGTTAAAAGAACACTTGCTGCTGTAAATATTAAACATTTTATATTGGGTTGTGTGTTGCATTCTCCCTGTTCTTCACCCAAGGTGACATATGGGTAAGGAGCAAGGCTTGACAAATGAAGGTTCACAGGTATACATGTACATGCAAATTTATTTTGCTGCAGACGTTCAACTTGTCATTAACTGTTTTTTGTTTCTTTTTTTAAAAGTGGTTTCAGCGACAAGTCAATCAAATGGAGGAGGTAAGTGTAACATTTATTAATTGCTAATTGATATGTTTGCTTATTTGAAAACCAAAGTATATATAAGTTAAAAAATTTTAAAATAGCATTGGCTATAATCTTTTTAGGTAAAGGAGAAATGAGTGGGTAGAAATCAATGTTTTGGGGTAATCTGTACACTCTACTCATATATTCCTGTATCTTTTCTATATATATATTTTCCTGCATATTTACTCAAATTGAATGATAGAATTCAACTATTTCTCTTTTTCTAATTCATATAAAACAGTAACAAAAGAGAATTTCATTTTAAATTCCTCCTATACTGAAAAAATCATGTATAAAATATATATAGACATAAAATCATATTTCTTCTCTAAATTTAATGTTATTTTGATGATACTCTGTTGTACTTTTGATTTTCAAGTACTTTACTACCAGTTTGAGAACTGCTCATATCTGTTCTTAAGGATTTTCAATTCCATTTTGGAAAAGACTTTTCATATATGTCACTAATATGATTGATAGAGTGTTTTCCAGGATAGCTTTACTGTTTTAGAGAAATAGGTTTTTTCTTTGTCAGGCTTATGGTTTACTCTGATTAAATTAAACACTCTTGAGGCCGAGGCTATTTAGAGAAACAAGACCCACTTATAAGTGTAAAGATAGAAATTATAACTTTCTGTTAGTACCTACTCATTAATTTTTCTCTGGCCCCAGAGTGGAAGACTTTCATGGTCTGCACCTCACCTTGTTTTAGATAGATATTGCTGATTAGAAAAGTGTTAGTGATTCTTTAATTATGGCATGCTGGCCATTATCTTCCAGAGAAATAGGGAGAAGTCCATTATTTCTCTATTCTCTTGTAAAACAGTTAAAATTATTAATGATAGTCTTACTTTTGAAACACTACCCCTTTGAAAGTTAATGATTTTCATTATTGCATTTGATGCTATATGAAAATAAATGTAATGCTTTTTTGATAGTAATTTAAATTTTATGCCTTAGCTATTTTAAGAAAATACAAATTGTGTTCTCTGTCAGTGTTTTACCCCTTTGACTATTTTTTTCAGCCATCTTTTTTACTCAACCATAAAATGTTGGCCTGTCAAAAGATTCCACCATGTGTCTTTAGTTTTTCCAAACTTTTCCCCTAGGTAATGTCAGTTATTCTATTCAAGTTTTACCTTCATACTAGTAATTTACAAACACATTTCTTGCCCTCAGTGACCCACTGGACTCCAAATTTGTTCTGCCTCAAATCCAAAGAATCAAAAATACAACTTTTTACTCTTCTAGTTTCATAGTTTTGTGAATGTTAGTACTATTTATCCAATTAGATAAACCAGAAATAGGGTAATCAACCTTGACAAGTTGCTTTCCTCTATCCTTAGTAGTCAATCTATACATAAGTCCTTTAGATTTTGCCTCCTAAATTGTCCATTTATTTCTGTGTGTACCATTTATACCTTAGTGCAGGTTACCATCGCCTCCAGTAAATGTGAAGTCTTAACTTACACATGCATAATCCCCAGGAGGAATCCTCACTGCACATTTATACTCCTCATCTGGAGTTCTAAGTTTAAATCCTTAATTATGTCTTTTGAATACTTTCTTAACTTGATGGCATCAGTTACATTGTATATGTGTATTTTCTTCTACTGAAGGAGTGTTTCATTTTTTCGTTAGTGTATGTTGTATTCTTAATACAGAATAGTGAGGTTTGTTCGGGGAATTTGGTACATGCATTTAAACATATCCTGATCATTACCAATTCCTTTATGCCCGTTGTCCCCCTCTCACCCTCATACCCTTCCCTGTCTTCAAAGGTCTATCCTCTAATTTCCTGCTATTATTCACTCACTTACTTACTTATTTGTTTATTTTTAGGTATCAGAGAGGAGAAAATATATGATATTTAACTTCTAGAGGCTGTCTTATTCTGAAATGATATTTCTTAAAATCTGGTCAATGGATTGTGTTTAAATGTCACACAAAATATTTATTATACATATGTATGACTGGATTCAAATTTTATGTATGTAAGAGAGCTAGAAATCTGCCTGTTTATAGCCTTTCTTTAGGGATTTTTAGCCATGCTAACATTAGACAGTCTTGGTTTTTACTGGTAATGCCTTCTCTTGTTAGTACCTGCTAGTGCTGTTAATGCTTGTGGTTATGATGTATTAATATATCATGTATTAATAGCGATGTATTAATTGAGATACATATGTATTAATGGAGATCCACCCAGGTGTGAGGTAAGCTGCACCATTGAAATGCTGGATGGTGCATCCCTGTCCTTTTCAGAGTTGTCCTATTAGGAATGTGCCACATAGATCTCTTTGAAGAAGTCTTAGAGGTAAAAAACCCACTATCTGTTCCATACTTTTAGGTCTGTATTATCATCTTTTCTCCTATAAAGGACTTCAGTTCAAATTAAATTCCTGTTGGAAAATACAATATATCAGTTGTGGTTTAATCCAGAGGCAAAAATCACCCAATAATTTGATTAGGGAACGTTTAAGATAAAGACTTATTGTCACAGAATAAGGACTATCAGCTAAGGAGTAAGACAGTTTTAATGAATACTGGAAAAGAGGTGTAAGGAGCAGCCTATAGCCCTAGAATGGAAGCAGAACACTTCAGGAAGGAACAAATCTGAATAGCTCTAGTCTTCTTTTCCTTCCACCCCAAGGCTAAGACCCAGAACTTCTGAAGATGGAGTAGCTGTCATCAGTGGAGGACAGAGAAGTTTATAGATGCCATCCTGTTAAAATTTAGACTCACTGGAAAGCTGCCTATGAGTTATTACATCAGAAACTACCCTTTGTATACATCTCCCTGGGAAATGCTTCCTCTTGCTGGGAAACTGTCCACAAAGGTTCTCCACTGGAGTATTTTGCTGAGACATTCTGGGAAAAGCTGCCCATAGGAATTGTCCATGCCATGGAGCTAGCCAAAAAGCCATATATGGAAGTGGTAACTTTGAAACTTGCCGTGAGTCAGCTGTACTGGGTGTTGTATACAGTCTTAGGAGTGAACAGAGATGACAGAAATGGGAAGTAATGCTTTGTCCTACTCCAGTGCCTCTCTAGGACCCTCTGCTGATACAGGGCAGAATCATGCCACTTGCCAGGGAAGAAATATATTCCACTTTCCCAAAACAAAGATAGAATTTTGAGTTGAGAGGAAATAAATTGATAATAATATCTAACTGGAACATTACTTTTATACTCAGTTTATGATGGGTTGCTCTTCTTTTAGGCTCTTGTTTTGCCCATAGAGTCTCAATAAGACTCTTTAATTGCCTCCTCCAGTTCTATATCCCTCTATATCTGCCGGACACAAAATCTCAGGCTTGCAATGCATTGCTCAGCATTTGCTACCTGCTGTTATATTTTAATCCAGTTACAGAGAGTCATAACTAAAATAAAGTTTCTATCTTAAATCCCTGATGCTGAAACTTCTCTATTCAAGGCCTTAGGACTATGCTTTGACTTACATTTTTGCCACCTTCCTTTCCCTCCCATCATAAGGATTAGAGGTTTCTGTGTCAGTGGATCTTTGCTGTTATACTGTCAAAACTTCCTGACTCCACCTAGGCATCCCTAATTACTATTCTGCTTGTTTATGTCTCTACATATTGGCTGTTGCCAGGTTTCTTTCATTGTGGTTTCTTCTTACTGAAATTCCTTTAAATAGACTTATTACCTAGAACATCAATTATGGTGTGACATCTTTTTCTATTAAATTTACTAATTTTCCACACTGCCTTTTGATTTTTAGCTTGGTCTGCTTCTTAAGACACACAAAAGGGGCTAAGTTTTCCTTGTGAAGACTGAGGAATCCCAGGTCCATGGACATGTATCTTCTGGGATTTAAAAAAAGAATAGCCTTTGAGAGCAAAGTATTATCTCTCCATAATTTACCATAGTACAGGTAGTCTTAGAATTTAGTGAAGGTGATTATTTTAGAATTAGTCTTATGAATATTTTGGGTTGCAGTCCATTGTTATTGGATTTGCTTAAAATTTCTGTATGTCAAAGAGTAAATAAAAGATTTGATACCACTTTTGGTATGTAAAAGTCCTCAGTGAGCTCCAGTTCTATTGATAGGTAATATTAGATGTAAGTATATTTATAAAATATTATATTAGCACATACAGCTCTAGAGAAGAACAGTATAAAAGTTACTCACATTTGATGGAGGAAATAATGAAAATTTTTGAGATATGTGAATGAAATGGGTATTTCCTAAGTAACTGGTTAATTTTATTACTTTAGATAAGTAAAGACCATAATATTTCAGAAGAAGATCTTCCAGCACCTGATAAGTCTATCACAGCAAACATTTCACAAGTAGTAAAGTTAATGCAAAAACTCCATGCACTGAGACATTACTTCACAGATGGGGCCAAGTACTCCTTGAAATCCATGATGCCTATGCCAGTGTAAGTGAAATATAAGAATTAGTTTAACTAAAAGCATTGAAATGGGGCTTATAATTAGTAATGAATGTAAGAAAATGGATCATATATTACTGCTTTATGGAGAGCACCCGAGTCAAATCAGAAGGGGTAGCATTTATTTCTGTTTGAAATTTTTAATAGTCTGAGATGGCATTATCCAATAGAGTAGTCACTAGGCACATGTAGTTATTACCATTCTAATTCAGTTCAATTAAGAAAATCAATTTGTTGGTCATCTGAGCTATTTATTATCAGGCATGAATAGTTTCAGACCAAATATAATATTTATGGTCGTATTACCATTCTAATTCAGTTCAATTAAGAAAATCAATTTGTTGGTCACATTTCAAATACTTAGTAGGCACATGTACTTGTTATTAAAAAGTTCTGCTGGGCATTATTGGCTTTGAAATATCTGACTTATAAAATGCCTCTGTTTAAGACTTAAATGTTGTATTGTTTATGAATGCAAATTTGTTACAAACTTCATTCACAAACACCCATTGTTTTACATTAAACATACATAAAACCCTTTTACTTCATATTGTTAAATTATGAAGTACCCTTAATTTGAAGGGGCTGTTATTTATCATGCAATGATTAGTATCTCTAGGTGCAATGAGTAGATTTAAATGAAAAAAATATAAACTTGAGTTGGCTGCCATTGGATTTCATTGTGGTCCAGAGGCTCAGGTATATTCATTTGAGCTATTTATTATCAGGTATAATAGTTTCAGACCAAATATAATATTTATCTTTGACACTTAAGTGTCTGTTGTACTCTAGGTACTTTTTAGTAACTTCGTATGTGAACCTTATAAATACTTCATAAGAAAGATATTTATTATGCCTAAGTTTTAATAGGTGAAGAAACTGAAGCTCAGAGAGGTTAATAAACTTAATTGGTAAGTGTGTGAAATAGGCTTGTGCTAGGTAGTCTCATTCTATACCTTATGATATTCACCAATACGACATTAAATAATACATTATGAGAAAGAAATCCCATGTTTCTACTCATGTTTTTGTTGTTAATGTTGTTGGTATTGTCAGTTAGATTCATACAATACATAGAATTACATGGCTTGGCTTTTATACTTTTTAAATGCTTCTTACTGGTTAATTTCACTTAATAACTATGACAAAAGATTAAAGAATATGTTAACTTTAATTTTACAAACTTCATGTATCTAGAGACTGTCCATTGTAGCTCTTATGGTACGTGAGGTCATTGTTTGAAATATTAAAATTTGTTCTATTTAAAATTCAGGAGGGATGAAGAAAAGCCATCAAAAAAGGTGGATAGCTATGAATCTGTGGAGCAGCAAATTAAAGGTGATAATACCGTATACATGTTTAGCCTATACAGTGTTTCCTAAATATATTAACATTTTGAAACTTACACTTTAAAATTTACAGAGCTATCATTATACAATAGTATACTTTAAGTTCTTTAACAGTGAGCTTGTATTTCAATATAGTGTCATTATGTTCCTGATCCTAGAATAAATACTGTACAATTTTGTTACTGCCCCCATGAAACTCAGACTTCAGAAGGACACACGCACATTATGAATCCTTTTAATATGTTATAAGACACAATAGAGGTATGTATGCTTTAGGAAAATTTTATACACCCTTAAGGGATGAACAGAATTTAGTCAATTTAAGGAGGAAAATTGGTATTTTAAGAAGAAGATAATGGTATGAATAAACAGCGTGAATAGAAAATAACAACTTCATTAGTATAAAAGTGTATACTGATAGACAGGGTAAATTAGAAGAGTAGCCTCATCATAGAAGACCTGAGTATAAGGCATTTATACTTTTTCCAGGTGTTAAAAGGAATCATTGAGGGCCAGGGATATAGCTCGGCAACATAAGGGCCTGCCTGGCAAGTGCAAGGTCCTGAGTTCGATTCCTGATTAAAAAAAAAAAGAAAAACAGAATCATTGAAGACATTTTGTAGGGAAATTTTATAATCACATTTGATTTTAGGGAAAATGTTTTGGCCCTATAGTAGAAAATAGATGTGTGGATTGTGAATAGGAAAGGAAAGTTTTTATTTAATATTACATGTGTGATATATATACAGTAGAACACTAATAAAAAAGAACAAAAGTGATAGGTTTGAGAAATATGTACTTTATATAACTGGCAAAAGTTGTTGATGAATGTGAAGGAAGAACGATTAGATAAAGATGGTACTGTCAATGAATATAAATGAATATAACAGGAAAGGTACTGTGATAAGAAAACAGTGGAGGAGGATCCACAGTGTTGGCAACTAGTATTTTTTTCTTTCTCTTGAATTATTAAAAACAATGGCATGTAAACTCAATTAGTACACGTAGTTGCTACTTGCAATTTATAATGTGAGATATACCTTTATTTCAGAATTCATAAAAACCCACTCAACTGAAGAATCTGTAGATGTTTCTGCAACAGAACCACGTAAGTTTCCTTTAATTTGAGCACTTTTATGTTAATAACCTCGGTGAACACATTAATTTCTCTAATTTAAAGTAATAATTATTAGAGTAATAGCATAGATTCCTTGGAGTTAGGAGCCATACACCTGAGCTGGTTGTCTGACAACTCCTGAAAAGCCCCATTAAGGCTGGAGGTTATCAAAACAAGACTCAATTTTGAAATTGTAGTTATAACATGCTACTGAAATGTTGGCAGAACTTTGAGGTGGCACAATGATAAATATGAGCCAGTTTGGAGATTTTCATGTCAGGAATTGTATATCGTCTCAAATTTAGTAATGCTTTTACTGCCAGTGAGTACCTGTCAGTTTATAAAGACAAACAGCAGCTAGAGTTTCTCTGACAAATTTCAGGCTGTTTGTCAACAGAAAGAAAAAATTACTTTGTGTCCTAATATTGGAGAGAATCTGGAAACAATAATGATTGAATACAGTTTCAAAGTGCAAAGCAGGCTTTGTTTGGATAAAGTTGCTGTTAAGTCTACTCTTTTTCAGCTTATGCTTTAACCTCCAAGTTCTTTGTCTCTTCAAACGATGGTTTTGGTGTTATTGCAGCTGAAAGATGTACCTGATGTGTAAGATGAAAAGAATTAAGGGAAATTAGTCTTTAATGTGAGCATTATGTTTATCTGGCCAGGAGTTAAACTTTTTATTGTTTGCTATAACTGTACATGTCAGTGGTTAATATTTATTATAACTCCTCCAGGCTTTCTTCATTCATTTTCTTTATTTTTCTTCTGAGACTATATATTTTCAAATAACTTCTTTTTGAGTTCACAGATTCTTCTATTTGATCAAATCTGCTGTTCATTTACTCTATGGTAGATTTTATTTTGTTCACAGTACTCTTCAGCTCCAGATAGATTCTTCTTTATGATTTGAGTTGCTTTGCTAAACTTTCAGTTTCGGGTTAGGGTTTGATATCTGGACCTCCCGCTGACATACACACATGCATGCATGCACACACAACATTGTTTTCATGACATTGAGAATCACCATATGATCCAGTAAGCTCCTAGTGAGTATAAATCCAAAAGAAATTAAATCAGTATATTGAGGTGATATCTGCATTCTCATGCTTATTCTTTTTTATTTTAAAGAGTGTAGTAAATGAAAAAACAAACAAACAAAAAAATAGAGCAGTAGCAGCATACTAGTATCATGAACATAAACAAATCAAAGCAAGAACATTCAAAGTGATACAGGGTCTGAAGACAAAATAATATGAATCAACAGTGGTTGTTACATTACATATCGCTATCCTCAGCTACATTGCTCAGATTACCAGATGTAAGAATGGAAGATTGCTCAAACCATTAAAGAGAATAAGAAAATAATTCTTTGACAAAACATTATACATAACAGAGTTTCACTAGACAGGATGGTAGGAGTTCACCGTTGTACTTCCATTGCATATTGTTACCATCAAATCAGTTGCTCAGACCACCAGACATAAGCATGCAAACTTGATCAGAACATAAAAAATTGTAATTATTAACTGTTCACTTTCAATACACCATCAGACATCAGCA